CAATCGACGGATTCAACTCGGCTGGGCAGCGTTCGGGAGATTGCGACACATCTTCTCATCAGGCATACCTCAAAATCTCAAAACTAGATTGTACAACCAGTGCGTGTTGCCAATGATGACCTATGGATCTGAGACGTGGTCCTTCACTGCTGGCCATATGAGGAAGCTCAAAGTCGCTCAGCAAGCTATGGAGAGGGCTATGCTCGGAGTTTCTCTGCGTGATAAACTTAGGAATGAGGTGAGCCGCAGTAGAACCAGAGTAACCGACATTGCTCAACAGATTAGTAAGCTGAAGTGGCAATGGGCTGGCCACATAGCTCGAAGAATCGATAACCGTTGGGTAAAAAAGGTTCTCGAGTGGCAGCCTCGTACCGGCAGGTGAAGTGTATGTCCCCCCACTAGGTGGAGTGATGATCTGGTAAAAGATGTAGGAAGTCGATGGATGCGGGTGGCTCAGGACCGTGCTTTGTGGCATTCCTTGGGGGAATGATGATGATGATGAACCCAACTATCAACTATCTATTTATCAACCAAAAATGTATAACTTTACTTCGTCACCCGCACCTCACGGTCATAGTAAGGCAATATTCATAACTTCACGCTATTTTCCGCAAGGAGTTGCGCGGAGCTTCCGATTATATTCTCAAGTTACAATGATAAAACTTTAAGCGTAGTTAGGTATAGATATTTCGTAATGTTTCTAAGGCGCCGCTAGACACTCGCGCATGATACGCGCGGTTCAGTGTGCCAAGATAATATAAATAAAATCTATAGTATTTGATACTTACAAAGCTCGATACCTGATTCATACTTGATACTTGATGACTGTGCCGAGGGTTTGATAGTGTGGTTCATTGACTTCAGAGTTAGTCATAGAGAAGAGGAACTCGTGGTTGGACAGATGAAAGAGAGAATAGCCTAATAAACCAATCTGTTTATATTATGTAAAAATATAACGAAACTAAAATAATATATATATATATATATGTATATATATATGTGTATATATATATATATATATATATATATATATATATATATATATATATAAACGTATTGACCTTTAAGCAGAGCAATCTTACTTAACTGATTCCTGCAAGTTTCTTTATTTAAATAATTAAGTTTAATATAAAAATTACGTGTCACATTATTTGAAACTTGAAATAAACTATCACCAGAGACGACTCCGATACGACTTAGGGACCTTAAAGAAAAGAACCTATTCCTTTTTAAAAGGCCGGTAACGCATCTGCAATCCCCCTGGTGTTGCAGCTGTTCATGGGCTACGGTAATCACTAACCATCAGGTGAGCCATACGCTCGTTTGTCCCCTCTCTTATAAAAAAAATTTGCATCTTATTGCAGATATTATTTGAATATTTTTAATTATTTTAGAATATCATGGAAAAATTCAGTTAATTTTAAAATTATTGAGTTTCATTCACTAAAATAAAAAAAATTGAAATCCTTTTAATGTTTCCTTGTAGTAAATTGTACATCACTAACTAACGCACACAATGACAAATCAAACTTTGTCACGCGTTTTCGGGCTGTCAGGTTGTCTTTTGTATGTCTTAATATATATAAATTACGTGTCACGTTGTTTGTCCGCGATGAAATCCTAAACTACTTCACCAATTTTAATCAAATTTGCACACCGTGTGTAGTTTGGTCCAACATGAGAGATAGGATGGTTTTTTGCCCATGAGTGACCCACAATTTTTTTTTGCGAATTCAAGGATTTTTAATAGGACATGACAAAGGGTCATTGAAAAGGGCAGAACAATGCCTGCATGGCAAGCTAGTTTATTATATAAAAATTACGTGTCAAATTGTTTGTCTGCGATGAACTCCTAAACTACTGAACTGATTTCATTGAAATTTTGCACACTGTGTGCAGTTTGGCCCAACTTGAGAGATAGAATAGTTTATGCCCATAAGTGACCCACAATTCTTTTTTTTGCGAATTTAAGGATTTTTATTAGGACATGACAAAGGTCGTCGAAAAGGGCAGAACGTCTGCCTGGCAAGCTAGTACAACTGTATATTCTAAGTCTATGTATGTACGTACATATGTTCATCCGTTCCCTTAGATCTTCTAAACTACTCATCGTATTTTGATAAATTATTTATATATACAGAAGCACTATGCCCTTTTATGGGTTTTAGGCTGCATGAAGTCACATAAAACTACCATGGCGGCTTGTTGTGGACATATACTTAATAGTCTCAAAAATGTATCTAATAAAAGGTGTAATCCAGTATGTTCTCGATATTTCAAAAATATATGCTATAAAAAAAGGTAACTATATTATTATACATTAGTTAACGTTTTTTATGAAATTGAAGTAATTACAATAATAACGGTTGTTTCGGATTTGTTTACCCGGTCACTAGCCCTCATACAATATGTTAATCGGTCGAACGACTGGTCCAAGTCCGTTCTGTATCCGAGTTGTCACTGTCACCGGGCGATACTGTTTCAATGTAACTATGTGTGTGTAAAATTGTTAGTTTATTGTTTTAATTTTTATGTTTGAGTTCCGTAGTAATCGAGCTTCCAAGCTGTTTCTAAAATAAATTTTATAAATAGTTCGTACAACCGTTCATATCGTATAATTTACCTTAAAAATCCGTTGGTTTTATAGCTGGTTTTTCCCAGGACAGAGGTGTTTTCCCGAAACTGTGGTAAAAGAAAAAAATTACTTTCAATTAGAATTACGTGTAATATTGAATAAAAAAATATTCTATTCTATTCTATTTGTGTGCGCAGATTTCCCCCGCGAAAAATGACTGACATTTGTGTTTCGGGAAAAAACGCTATGGCTACTCACCTCCTGTCCACCGGTGGCCCATAATGCACTGTGTTTTATTTATGTGGAGTGTTTTTTTCTAGGCAAAAATCGATTAATTTAAATGTTATATAAAGATCTGTGTTTTATATCTTAATGTGCACTTGAAAGTGAAATACAGCTTGCCTATTATAAAAATCCAGTGCCGGATTATACTTAAGGGTACACTAGTTACTCATTATTCCATACAAACGTAGTCTTGCGATTACTCCACTGTTTCATGGTGTACGTTCAAAATAAAAAATGATTTGAATTTGTCTCATCGTTATCTAAACCTGTAAGGAAACAAAAAAGTAAAAAAGGAATATATTTAAAAGTGATAATTTTAACACATCTTTGGGCGGAAATAAATACCACAAGAAGAACGAAAATTGCAAAACAGTTACCATACAGGGATAGATTAGGTGTTCAAAATTGCAAATAATTTTATTTTGAACAGATACATGCAATAGATTTTTCATGATATCCAGATTTCCAAAGGTCTGTTTATAAAATTTCGCGCGTTCGTTTTCATTGTAAATCATCATGCCTTTCGCTTTCCCGCGTGATATCGGCTGAGATAGCGTGCATTTTAACCACGCCCACCACTTAGTTTATGGCATCGACTAAAGCCACCTTAAGGCAAATTAGGCACGTACCTATGAGCAGGTAAGTTACATAAAATTATACTTCCTATAGAGATATATAGGTTCTGAATCCTATGTCTCCCTCACAATCATTATATTTTCATTTTCATATATCACACTTGCCTTCGTCCACCTAATTATTTTGCAAATAAACTATATCATTAATTATGAGATAGTTTATTTGCAAAATAAGTAGATAAAATTTATAACATACGACCGCCAGAAGGACGGCGATGCTAGCCTACGCCGCTGTCGATATTTAATCCGTCCCTGTATAAATTTAAAATTATCTAAAGTCCGAAAAGAGGGGCAAAAGTACACGGTAATCACCAAATTCAGCAAATTATTCTTCATCATCGAGATCATCATTCATCGAGAGGGTGATGAACTGTCCTCATGAGATTTGGGATTTAACGTAAACAGTTCTTTCGTTATCAACGTTGTAAAGATAGAGAAAGGGTTGATAGGCATTGCGTTCCTTATACTCAGAATTACCAAACGATATCCGTTGAAGTTCATACAAGTTAACGCACCAACCTCGGCATATCCCGATGATGAGGTGGAGGAGATGAAAGAGGATAATCTTTAGTGCCATATACTCCATCAAAACCTACTTTAGTGTTAATGTGAGACTGGAGAAAACTACATACAAGAAAGAACGGTAAGCTGAAAGTAGGAAAATTTGGACACAGAATCACGTTTACACACTAACTTTGGAGATGAAAGAAGATTTCTTTAGAGTCAATCCGCATTTCTGAGGCATAAAATATTTTGAGAATTCCTTCAAAACAAAACACACACACACACACACACACACACACACACACACACACACACACATATAAATATATATACCTATCACACCTCTCTCGCCTCCTTCACATCCATATACCTACGCATACATGCTCGTCGGTTAAGGGTACTCCTAATTTGGCCCGTTTTCAATAAATCGCCAATTTGGTCGATAAATTTTCGCCTAGGCCGTCCCTTTCCAACTCTGCCATTCACTTCTGCAACATAAATTTTCTTTGTCACTCTTTCCTCATTCATTCTTTCCACATGAACAAACCACCGAAGCATTCCTTTCTTAATCCTGGTCACAGCATCATCATGCAAACCATACTCTTCTCTCTATATCACTCTTCTATATATATATGTACGTGATAACAGGTACCATACCTTATAATGTGGTAAATACCTATGAAATAGTGTAATGTAATAACGTGTCGAATTTATATGTAAATGCTGTATGTTTATGTATGTCGAATGTCATATAAATGCTGTAATGTCGCTTTTATTGCAATGTAATGTGCTGAGGTACAGCTTGGGGTGACGTGCAGAACCGTTGTATATTTGTGGCCTGTGTCACTAATGGTCGTTGCTAAGCAACCATATTGTACGTAACAAATACAAAAACACAAATTGCACTGTACCATTCTAAAATATTATACTCTTTGCACATTACGTTTGTAATAAAATAGAACAAACCAATAGTTAATTATGCTAAGCAACTAACATGCAAAATGCGGCTAAAATATTCGAAAACGTTATTAGAATCACAGGTCAGTCTCGCGTTATTGTTGGTATATTGTTATCATTAAAATGTATTTTGAATTTGTTTTTTTTCAGGGTTGCGACTGTCCAGTTGCAGACATAAGTTGGTCCCCTAATAACGTAAAACTAGCTGTGGCGACAAATGAGCGTCAAATATTGTTATTTGATCGTGAGGGTACCCGGCGCGACAAGTTTAGTACGAAGCCTGCTGACTCCGCTGCTGGAAAGAAATCTTATGTTATTACCAGTACGTATTCAAATAAAATGTTAACTATCAATGCTCCGACATTTTCATGATGTCCGGGATTTTCAAAGTATCACGGAAACCGTGCCCAACTTATTGTAAATGCACCTTTGTTATTAATTACTATACTCTTTGTGATCATTTCATTAGTGGAATAGTGTTGCCGTCGTTTAGAAGTACTCATTTATACTTGATTGATAATAATAAAGTTCTCCCTTGTGCTTTGGTGATTAAGCACAATAAAAATAGTATAGCAAGGTAGTGTTCTGTAAATCCCATATTGGGAACTTTTCCATTCACCGGCACGGCTGCTGGGAAGTTTTTAAAAAAGAAAAGAAAAAAAAAGACTTAGAGAAACTTTTATAAATAACACTCTAAGTTAAAATAGTGCACAGAGAAGTATTTTAATATTACAAAATGACTGAAGAAATACACAGCTACTTTACGTGGTAGAGTAATTTCAGTGCTATGGTAACAATACATAGCTGCAGCCAGTGAATATAGGTTGGGTGGTATCCGGTGCGGATGTCGTGGGGTTACAACCACAAAAACGTAAACTGCTAAAATAAATTAAATCCGTTAAACGCAAAGTATGATTTTATTTAATCATTACAAATGAGAGTAATTTGGAACCAAGTTACAATACGACAGGACACACAGAATGTTTTGGGAAAATAAACTTTTTATTGTATGTAACCCTTTTTATCTGTACCAGCGGTAAAAGTAAGAAATACTTTCAATAAGAATTACATGTAATCTACGGAGTTCTTTTTTAAAAAGAATAAATTTTAAACTTAAGTTAAAGTATATAAATAATGATATACTGTTATTGCAGTTTTTGAAAATTATAATAAATAAGGCTTCTGATAGTATATTACGTATTCTGAACCTTCTTTGCAAATTTGGCCGGTTTTTGCAAAATAATCGTGTATATGGAATAAAAATTATTCTATTTTACTTAAAAAATTACCAGCAATAATTTATTTTGAAAATATGATTGTTTAACAAGTAAAAATGCGAATGTTTCAATTTAAAAAAAATCACATTTTTTTGCTAGCTAACTTCAAATATCGGGGTATTTATTCCCAGTAGTCTTACCAAGTTAGTCTTACGAGTAAGATAGATGACCGAGATTTCTTACCAAGTAGACCTAATTTGTGAGGCCACTGGGGAAGAAAATTCTCAGTCCTCCTACTCTATAAAATAGAGAGAATTGTTTATCACTACCTACCTGCTTTAGTTTATTTTTGTCAAAATTATGCAATTCATGTAAAACGTTTTTTGGCCTAATTTTACTAATGTGTGCTTTTCTATAATTATGGAATACTACTGTGGCCGTGGTAGGAAAAGGGGAGATCTCCCGCCGGGCAAGGTGTTCTGCCCGGGCAGCGGCCAACACTCCGAGTGATAGTTCGGAGAAGTTCTATATATACTGTTTATGATTCGGAATGTTGATAGCGCGATTTAGGCTTCGGTGTGTTTTCGCTTGTGGCGCGACAACAGCGCCGCTACATCACCCCCCTGCTCAGACCGGAGGTCGATAGTGCAGCCTCGTTGCCGACGAATGTGCAAGTGCCAGGAGATTGCCTTGTCTGCGGTGAGTCGAGAAGAAGGCAAGTAATCTGCGAGAGTGCCGTGAAGCAGAGGCGAGCAGTAAGGCTCAGAGCCGTGCCGAACACTGTATAGCGCAGAGAGTAGCTTGAAGGAACAGGAAGCATTATTATTCCAGTGCTGCGATGAACCTTGTGAAGCTAGATGGCTTGCAGGATATGAAGACTGCAGACGATATCTGCTCGGGAGCGAATGGGTGGGGTATTCTATGACGTTGAGGAAGCTTGAAGTTTCCGAAGGTTGTTGGTTGCGTGTTCAGATCACGTCGGGTGGTCACCACTGTGGTTGTGGAAGGAAAAGGGGAGATCTCCCACCGGGCAAGGTGTTCTGCCCAGGGAGCGGCCAATGCTCCAAGTGATAGTTCAGAGATGTTCTATATATACTGTTTATGATTCGGAATGTTGATAGCGCGATTTAGGCTTCGGTGTGTTTTCGCTTGTGGCGCGACGACAGCGCCGCTACACTACTAGGCGCTCATAAATGTCAAAGAAGTATCGGGTATTAAAAAGCTCGTCTGGTACTTTAGGCCGTATTCAGTGCTCTCCTGACGGTCAGTGCGTACGCACGCACTGACCGTCAGTCGGCTTTATGCATTCAGTGCTCCACTGACCACCGTACGGAACAGCAGGGTATAGTCGTGATGTATCCGTTTATAAATTGTTTAATTACTCTTTACTATTTGAGGCGATTACGAATGAAAAAAAAAACGAAGAAGATATCACGTACATCCAGTTATTGCTAACAGGCTACTTGAAGGAGAATTCAGTACTCTGTTTTCAAAACTTAGAAATTATAATGAAAAATTCTCTGATTATTTTGGGATGTCAGTAAAAAGTTTTGATGAACTGCTGGCAAGAATTCAGGATCATATTAAACATCATAACATGTTTAGGATTCCAGTACGACCCGTTGAAAGACTTGCTGTGACATTGAGGTAAGATAAAATCGAAAATATTTTCGTAGTCGGGTGCTATTCCACTCATCAAATTTCTTTGATCAAAATATCAGTGCATTTTTCTAATAATATCAACATAAAAGTCAGCTTTCTCTTTTTGTTGGATAAAATTGATGGGTAGAATGGCTGGCACCCTTACATAGAGTACTTTTAAATATGAAATTAGATACCTTTAAATATGAAATAGGCAAATTAAACATGTTTATGTGCTAAGTTTAATAAGTTTAATAAGTAATTTAGGTAATACAATCAGTTAAGTAATTTAGGGAATGCAATCAGTATTATCAGTATCATGTGATTGTCAGTCATTGCTTAAAATTAATATACTGAGACAAATCAGATGATGGGTTTTCCAAATTTTGTGATGTGCTCGTATAAGCGAAATTACGATTAGTTGTCACTACGTTTTGAAACGAAGGTTCTTCAACTGAATACAAAACTATGTCTCGAGATCCTGGTGATGGTATATTGAAGCTGGAAGCAGACAAAGATGTGATTACCGAATTTTGTGATGTATGTGCGATATTTGGATTAGTTCTCACTACATTTTGAGACGAAGGTTCTTCAACTGAATACAAAACTATGTCTTGAGATCCTGATGGTAGAGATTCTGGTGATGCTATATTCATGCTGGAAATCTTCATTCAGGGCGAGAGGTAGATGCATACATTGGTGAAGCAAGAGGAGTGATAGACGAAGGGCAGTTACAAATTTCCAGGGCTTTATTCATTACTGCAGTACGGAACATAACTTTTTGACGATTGTCGAATGTCCGTGTTAAAGGTAAAAGAGAATAAAAAAATGCCATATCGTCATTTTGAATAATTTCGCTGTTTTTTGTTTTTATCAAGATGACCAAGATGTTTTTATCGAAGTAGCTGTCTTCATTAGTTTTTGCGTTTTTACGCTTCCTTGATGGGTTTGTGTTAGGAGTAGAGCTAGATTGTTTAGTTGTGTTTGAAGAATCTTGTCTAACTTGGCTGGAACACTGTGGTTGGGTTTCTGGATTGGTGGATACTGTTTCAGTAGAACGTGGATTGATTGGAGACTCTAAATTTGAATCTTGTTGTGTATCTTCTCTTGTTTCATTTTCTTCAATAGAATCTTCGGTGTCGGCAACATGTTTTTTGTCAAGAAACTGTAAATGTTTGAAAAATACGTATTTGGTTCTCTTTCCGCCTTCCGATCCCGATTTCACAGATTTCATAGAATTTTTGCATCTCATGTAAGCATCTCTCGCAGTTCTCCATCTTTGTTGTACACTTTTTTCTGTAAATAATAAATAAAAAAAATTGTGTTTTTTGTTCCAGGTACTTAAGAACTGGACAAACGTTTTCGGACTTACATTTCAGTTATCAACTTGGCAAATCAACTATTTGTCTCATTGTTCGAGAAGTTTGCCTGACTATTTGGAATGTGCTTCACAGTGAATGTCTTTCGCTCCCTAGGTTCCCTGAAGATTGGCTTAAAATTGCTTCAGGATTTGAGCGGGTTGCCAACTTTCCGAATTGTGTAGGATGCCTAGATGGCAAACACGTGAGAATTGTTTGTCCCGAAAAGAGCGGTAGCTTATTTTTAAATTACAAGAAGCATTTTTCCATCAATCTACTAGCAATGTGTGATTCAGAGTATCGTTTTACATATATACATGTTGGTTCGTGTGGGTCAGACTCTGATTCAACAATTTTCAAGAATACTAGTTTGTACACAAAATTACATAATGGAGAACTAAATTTACCAAGTGCTAAGCCATTACCTAATACCACTGAACCAATGCCATATGTGCTAATAGGCGATGGAGCGTTTGGAATATCGAATAAAGTCTTAAGACCTTATGTTCGCAGCAATATGACACATAAAAAGATAATATTTAATTATAGATTAAGTCGGGCGAGAAGGTACATTGAATCGACGTTTGGAATAATGTCCAATAAATTTAAAATATTCCAACGCTCAATAAATCACTCACTGCCGAATGCTATTAAACTTGTTAAAACCTGTTGTATTTTGCACAACTACATTAGAGAAAAGAGATGGCTATAAATTTGAGGATACGCTAACTATTGAAGGATTTCAAAATAATACCAACACTAACAACATCTCGGTTGTCAGATCCGGTGATGTTTTGAGAGATAAATTTGCTAATTACTTTGTTTCTGAAGTTGGCGCAATTCCGTGGCAAGATGATTCTATATTTTGATTGTTATTATTTAGATACTTGTATATTCAATAAAAAATATTTTTAATAAACACATTTTTTTACTTACCAAAGTCTTTTTTATCATTCTCAGACAAATCATTAAAATCGGGCAAAAGAGCTTTATACACTCCAAACCATGCTTGAAGCTTGGCATCTTTATCTTTGAATAAATCGTGAGATAGATCCCACAAAGGTGGTCTTATTCGAACTTCTGTTATCACACGTTCAGTGTCGATGTTATGTTTCGACATGATTGTACACGCTAACGTCCGTTCGAGTCCCGCTTCCGCAACGCACTAAATGCTCTGAAGCATTGCATAGCGCGTCAGTCACCTGACGTACGCAGCACCGACGCGCTCGACTGACCGTCTCTGTCAGTATTGCGTATGCGGACGCGATCAGTGCTGCTCTGAATGCACGCATGGTTTCTATGGCGATAGCTACGGCAGACTGACGTCAGTCCTGACCGTCAGGAGAGCATTGAATACGGCCATAAACTGCAAAAATATTGGGTAATCGTGATTTTCACCAAATTATCAATTATAGAAGTGGTTTTAAAAAAAATATATTTTTTTATATCATTATAATAAAAGTGGCTTTAGAGTTACTCAACGGCCACCCCACCCGCCCATTAACCTCGTTGTCACTGATATTGCAAGTTTTGCCCGATAGTCTGAACTTTTAATCAGACACAACCACTTTTGACTTAGAACGTTGGTCAAAACCACTTATGACTAGAAACAAATTAGCCAACTGTTTTTGACTAAGGGCATCGGTCAAAACAATTTTTAACTGATTTTCGCAGTTAAAAGTAGTTTTGAGTGTGAAAACTATATTCTTTGATAAGTGGTGACGAGGATAGTGTACGTAATTGAGGGTAGGCGCTAAGTTCTCATCATTTTATTTTTTACGCGTATAGTAAATTTTAGCTAATTAAAAAAATATTTTAAAATATTAAAAAAAACTTTAAACATCTTTAATTTCAAGTCCTTTTGTAATATTTTATAAGGTATCACATTTAGCGAAAACTCCGAGTTACTCGGGGTAGCCCAGTCTGATAACATGGTATTTGTATACCGAGTGGGTGCTGATTGGAGTGGAAAAAAGGTCATTTGCAACAAATTTCCTTTGACTGGAGCTCCAATGAAATTATTGTCGACAGAAGTTGGATTTCTCACCGGTACTAGTGACGGAAAAATTAGGTATGTTATATAAATATATCCGTAATATATGTATTATGTGAAGTGAGGTGTACGTGGGAAATTACTGTGTGGTGGCGGCAGACAGGCGGCAAGTAAGAATGTAGATTTGTTCTCCTAGGTGTCTTAAAAGGCGACTATGTGAAAATTTAAGAAAAATCAATCTGTCTTCCTATAGTTGGCGGTATAATCATCCCGTTTACTCCCGACGTTAAATACAGAGCTACGGGGAGCTCAGTTCAAATGTGCAAAACGTCTAGTACTGCGATCGCGAATGAGCCTGCCAAATAAGGCAATAATGGAAAATCTTCATAAGCACTAAGCCCCCCCTCCTTATGTACAGCAGCGGACTTTACGAGCTGATGATGAAGGGGAATATGACAAATTTTCACCCAATGCAATTCCCACCTGCACTCGGTGCTCTCTACTAGTTAAGAGTTCTGATTAAGGTTCTGGCGATAGACTGATGTAGAAATCTTAAAAGGGACTAGTTAACGTGTTTATGCCGTACAAAAAAAGATTTCTGTATCTCCTAAAAACATAAACAGCAAAAATCGTGCTCTTTCAACCTCGTCATTGGAAATTAATAACTATTATTTATTTCCAAAAAAAATAATAGTTATTTTTTAACTATTTTTATTTTTAGTTTAATAACTATTATTTATTTCCAAAATAAATAATAGTTATTTATTTCCAAAAACGAAAAAAGAATTTCAAAGATAAAACCGCGAGCGCGATTTTTGTTTTTGAAGGAATAGAGAATCTATTTTTTTCGACGGCATAAATATGTTAACTAGCCGATTTTAAGATTTTATTAGGTAGGACTTAAAACTTGTCTGTTTCAAAATTTCAAAAATGATTTGGCTTTGAAATTTTGAAACGTCATCATCATTTTTAGCATTTGCAATTTCCACACAGTTCACCTGATGGCAATAGCTAATTTTAGCAAAAAACTCCAAAACTGCTAGAAGTATGTCTAGTAGGCATACTTTTTGCCTATTTCTTCCACCTCTTGCTGCACTCTGTTCGTTTGGGTTAAGACCAGAGCAGTGTAAGCCTTATTTTTATCTTATTTTTTATTACATTGGGTGACAAACGAGCACACAGTCCACATGATGGTAAGTGGATGGACCCATAGACATCTGCATTTATCCTCAATTCAGAATCAAAATGCAAACGCGTTGTCACCCACGAGGATTAAGATGGAATACCTCGATTCTAGTAAAAAGGGTCTCCGGTTCTCTACACTCACCATGCGAAACAACAGCATTACGCTGCTATTTTACGCTGGTATTCTGTGAGAGCGTGGTCCTGTCCTGGTCGAATCAAGCTATTCCTGCTACAGCTACAATATAGCTGCAGCGTGGCTCTACCAATTAAAAACGTTTTTCTTAAAAGATGAATTAGCTTCTTAAAATTATTCTTCTTAAAATTTTGAAACATTATCATGTTAAGCATTCGCAATTTGCACCTTGCGCACGAGTGTGTTATCGTGTAAAATTTTCCTTGCCTTTTCCCTCACACCGTTTTTCCACCTTTGTATTATTCCAAAATAGTATTATCTCGTTAAGGATCACTTTATCCTTGTAATTTATTAAAAGGATCCCTCTGAATTCCTAAAAACTGTGACACTTGGAACTGTTTAGGAATAGGGTGCCTTTTTGTACCACTAACTCGAATCTCGCAGTAAGACTCACGTTTAGACTCGGGCTTACAATGAACATATTGAATCCAAGTCTTATACAGAATAAATAAAAATATAAGTATCTTCATTTTGAATTCTGTTACACAGAGAAATTCCAAGTATAACCTTCTTAATAGTGACTTTGAGTTTCCTAATACGATCAGTTTAGAAGAACTACGTCTCAGATCTATATGTCATCAGTGGCAACTTACTAGTTGTACACTTTTGTTTTCAAGTTCTGAGGATAACTCGACGTATTCGCTATTGACGCTGATACCATCTATTTTCAACTCCAGTTGCTTAAAGACGTCATCTAACGCAGCGGTGAAGAGTTTTGGGGATTCATTTTGTCTTACGCAGGTTTTATACTCGAAAAGCCATCGTTGCCCAATTGTACAAACACTTCAGCACCTAGATATACCGATAGTTAATCTGACACTGCTGAGAGAACTGTAGCACTAATTCTTACTAAGCAAACTTAAATAGTGAGAATATCCAAAATTGACTCGAATTTCCCTCACTCCTTTATTCGTATCTGCCAGATATAAAATACCATGATCGGCGAATGGGAATAGTGTCAAAGATCAAAGATGCAGGAAAAGTGCTTGCCACGCGTATCGATTAACGCAAATCCACGCTATGCGAGAGCCACAAGTACAGTAGTAACCTGTTTATAGACTGATGAGAAAGAGAACTTTATAATAAATGTACAGAAAGTCGATAGAAATTGTGGTTCAGTGGCGAAAGTTTTTGGTGGTCAAAAATCATCCAGGTACCTGGATGACCCAGCTTTCAAAATTTACCTTCTTATATTGTAGCAGTTTTTCATTGCCTGAAAACACGGACAAAACTACATTTTCTTAAAAATCCTATATATATATACAATAATTGCTCGTTTAAAGGTATAGGATACGCAGGGTTTAATGATTGTGATGCAGATCCTTTTAAAATATAGAATGCTGGATTGTAAGAGCAACAAAAGTTCAAGCGTCTGGTCGGGTGGTTCGTGCTGTGTGGCGTTAGCTCGATGCGAATCGACGATTGCTTCGGGCCACGTGGACGGCACCATATATTTGAACGGACGGCTGCTGTTCCGATATGCGTTGCCACCCACCGCTATGTTGCTATTGCTTCCTTATGTGAGTCCTATTAATATTTCTTTGTTTTTAATGTATCCTCGATTAAGAATATAAATGAAGACGCGTTGTCACCACTGAGGACTAAGATAGAATGCCTCACTTCCTGTAAAAGGGGTCTCCGGTTCTCTACACTCACCATATGAAACACAGTAGCATTAAGCTGCTATTTAATGCTGGTATTCTGTGAGAGCGTGGCCGTACCCTGGTCAAGCCGACCCATTCGTACTATAATCATAACATAGCTGCGTGGCGCTATCACCTATAAATATTTATATTAAAAAAAAAACGTACACACAGTCCACCTGATGGTAATAAATTCAGTGACCTATTGACACCTACATCTATTCTCTACTAGGTATCTAATTTTGATACTTGCGAGAAAGGACTTCTCTACCTACTGCTTACAAGTCTGTCTAGTAGGCATTACTAATTTACCCATTTGTGCCACCAAGCAGCAGTGCATGCTCTGCTGTTTTTCGGTCTGTAGCCTTTTTTTGAAGATGGTTGCAAGTCTTTATAGGCTGCTGTAGCCATTTAACATCAAATGGCTTCTTACCTTGTCGTTTTACATCTTTAATTTAATAGGTCTTTACCTATGAAAATGCCGTTCTGCAGTACTGCTCATTTCAAATCAAAATAATTTTTATTTTGTCTCTGCGATGTGGTGTGATTGTGGTACTTGTGGGTCGACCCTTAGAATTTTAATTTCAAAAAATTATTTTAAACATGGAATTATTTTTTCATTTTTATATTTAATTAGTAACATAACATATAACATAACATAAACACTCACGCCTGTCACCCAGAGGGGTAGGCAGAGACTACAGACTTCCATTTAGCACGATCCTGACATACCTTTCTCGCCTCTTCCACATCCATATACCTACGCATACATGCTCGTCGGTTAAGGGTACTCTTAATTTGGACCATTTTTAGTATATCGCCAATTTGGTCGACAAACTTCCGCCTAGGACGTCCCTTTCCGACTCTTCCATTCACTTCTGCAACATATATTTGCTTTGTCAGTCTTTCCGCATTCATTCTTTCTACATGACCAAACCACCGAAGCATTCCTTTCTTAATCCTGGTCACCGCATCATCTTGCAAACCACACTCTTCTTTTATCACACAGTTTCTCACCCTGTCACTCAGATTCAGCCCTAACATACTCCTTAGCGACCGCATTTCTACTGCATTTACTCTACTCTCGTGCTTCTTCTGCCACACCCAACTTTCACTACCATACGTTAAAGTAGGGACTAATACAGCACTGTGAATTGCCATACGTGCCTTTTTTGACACATTCTGACTTTTCACAATAGAGTGTAGAGCCCCATTTACTTTATTTCCTGCATTCACTCGTCGTTCAATGTCCTTATCATATCTCCCATCCCTGCTGAATACACATCCCAAATATACGAACTCATCCACTTGCTCAATTAACTCTCCTTCTATTCTTATTTCACATACCGTTTTGCTTTCATCTCTTTCAAAAACCATCACTTTCGTCTCACTTGCGTTCACTTTCATTCCCCTTTCTTTTAATGACCTGTTCATTAATGTAACCATCATTTGCAACTCGGCCGCCGACGACGCAAGTATGACTTGATCATCGGCGTACAAAAGGCATTTGATGGTTAACTCACCCATTCTTAACCCACATTCTTCAACTTTCAAATTTTCCAAACATATGTCCATAAATAGGTTGATCAGCCACGGGGAAGCTACACAGCCCTGTCTGACACCTTTATGGATGCCAAACCAGTCCGAGTAGACCCCGTTGATTCTAACACAAGCACTCGAGTCCCTATACAGAGACTTTAATGCCTGTATCAAACCAGCGCTCAACCTAAATGCGTTCAGCGTTTGCCATAACACATCCCTGTCCACTCTGTCATAAGCCTTTTCCAAGTCCATGAACGCACAAAAAACTTTTTGGTTTTTCGCCAAAAACTTCTCCGCGATCATGCGCATGGAAAAGACTTGATCTATACACCCCATTCCCTTTCTAAATCCCGCTTGCACATCCCAAATTTTTTCATCAGTTTCTTTCATAACTCTTTCAATAGTACCTTAGTATACAGTGTTCCCACAATGCTAAGAAGGCTGATACCACGGTAGTTTTTACAGTCCTGCTGTGACCCTTTTCCCTTATATATTGGGACTATCACGGCTTTGCACCAGTCTCCCGGTACCCGCTTTAGTTCCCAACATAAATTAAACAAGGTGTACAGCAGGCCTGCCACCACGTCCTCTCCAGCCCTTAGCATTTCGAGTGAAACTCTATCATATCCGGCTGCCTTACCTACTTTCATACTTTTCATTGCTTTCATTATTTCATCTATACTTATCTCCCTATCTCTTTCATCTTCTTTCGGAATTTCTATTTCATTTAGTTGACACTTCTCCTCACTCATAAATTCGCTTTCAAAATATTCCTTCCATCTCTTTAGACTCAACACTTCATCATTCAGGATACAGCCATTCTCGTCTCGTATCGCATTCAATCTAGGCTGTTTTGAAAGTCCCCTGGTATTTCTTACGAGTTTCCAGAACATTTTAATATTTGCCTGGAAGTTATCCGATATTCTTCTATCATTCCTATCCATTCTTTCTTGCTTTTTCCTTTCAACTAATTCTTTTACTCTCTTATTTAAACGTTTAAACTCTGCCTTTTTTCTTTCATTCTCTTCATTCTTACCGCCAGAGTTACCAGCTTTGGTCGCTAGTAAATCTAGCCATGCTCTCTTCTTTGTTTCAACTTCCATACGTACTTCATCATCCCACCATAACGTATTGTCTTTCCTTTCATTCGTTCTCTTACTAACACCACATACTTCGGTAGCTGCATCCACTAAACCTTTCTTAACATTATGCCACACATTATCCAAGTCTAACTCATTCACACACAACTCATCCAAATTACTTATATTTTCTCTCAGTCTGCATTTGTACTTGTCTTTCACATCTTCATCTTGTAACCTCTCAATTCTTATACGCTGTAACGCAGTGGTAGACACAGATGTCCTATGCCGCCAACGTCTGAGTAAACCCCTAATTCGGCATAAGACCAGGTAGTGGTCCGTCCCTACGTTGGACCCCCGGTAAACCCTTGTATCCACCACTGCGCTCCTCATTCTTTCATCCACAGTTATGAAATCTATCATGCTTCTATCATCACCTCTTTCCCAAGTATACATGTGAATCTTCTTATGACGAATGAAAGTGTTCGTCACAAAAAGATTCCTTTCCACACATACGGTGAGGAGGCTTTCACCATTCTCATTTATACTTTCATCACCAAACGTTCCCAATATCCTTTCATAACCAAGCCTCCTCACCCCAACCCTTCCATTAAAATCTCCTAGCATAATAATATTGTTACGAGCTTGAGGTTCGTGACAATAAAAATTGCCGATAAAATTACCTAAATTAACACTTTAATTTACTTTAAACAAATTAAATCTTAAAACACTAATAATTAAACACACTAATTCACTTAATTTCGCTCCGAAGCTTCGCTCGTATCGCCAATTCAATACTGCTTCCCTCGCATCTTGCAGCGCCTATATATTTAAATTAGCAAAGAAATATCCAGAATGTTCAAGTAAACACGCGGAAGGTACCGAGCGTTCGAGTTTCGACTAGGCGCTGTCAGTTGAGTGATTTGTGATGTCATTTTCTCAATGCTCCCCTCGCTCTCGTTCCTGACACTAGATGGCGCTAGTTGACTTATTCATGCAACACTGCCCCCTCCTAAGACATGCTCGTCCCGAGCATTATCGGTCCCATAATAACGCGCCAAGCGATCCACATGGACGATCTTAGGAGTCCCTCTTGCGCCTTTCTGTATCCGGTAGGTCACATCGTTGATCCTGGTTACAATCCGGTACGGGCCGTCCCATTTAGCTTGAAGCTTAGGAGATTTCCCTTTGCTGCGGACTGGATTGTGCAACCACACAAGTGAACCTTCGTCGAACCCTTTGTTGTTCATTTTGCGGTCATACCGGGTTTTCATCTTTTCAGACATTTGCTGGCCCGATTGTCTCACGTGCTCATAAACGTCATTCATTTTTTTCCGCAAGTCATTTGCATAATCGGTTATACTGCGTGGAGCATCGGGTGGTATCCCGGTGATCAGGTCTGCAGGCAGCCGTAATTCTCTTCCAAAGTTTGCGAAAGCTGGTGTCACTGCTGTACTTTCGTGAACAGAACTTCGATATGACAACAAAAACGGTTGTATGTGCTTGTCCCAATCTCGTTGCCGATTGTCTACAACTTTTGCTAGGTACCTCTCCAATGTCTGATTAAATCGTTCCACCATTCCATCAGATTGCGGGTGATAAGAAGTCGTTCTTGTTTTATGAGTACCCATAACTCGGCAAGTTTCCTGGAATATTTGAGACTCAAAATTCCTTCCTTGATCGCTGTGAATCTCTAAAGGTACTCCAAAACGACAGAAGACTTCATGAACTAGTTTATCTGCAACTGTTGAAGCTTCTTGATTTGGAATGGCGAAGACTTCTGGCCACTTAGTGAAGTAATCCATCACAACCATGAAATACTTGTTACCGCTTTCACTCTCCGGGAACGGCCCCGCCACGTCAATGGCTATTCTCTCCCATGGTGCACCAACATTGTACAACTTCAATGCACCTCTACTACGAGTCTGAGGTCCCTTTACAGCCGCACAACTTGTACATTTGCGACACCAGTCCTCGACATCGTTTCGACAGTGGACCCAGTAAAACTGTTCTCGGATCTTCAGTAGAGTTCGTTTAACTCCCAGATGGCCTCCTGAACAATCATTATGGTACAGCTGTAGAACATCCGGTACTTTAACTTTAGGGACAACCATTTGCAAATGACAGCTGTCTCCCCGAACGTTTTCCCATTTACGACACAGAACTCCATCCTGAAGCAGCAAACTGTCCCACTGGGCCCAATAGCTTTTAGTGGTCGAACTCATCGCTGAGACGTCACTCCACTTGGGCTTGGGA